GTTGGTAAGATTTTTACATAACCATCATGTCCTCCGATATTTTCATTGTTTCATTATGCTTTTTGATACAAATATTTCTATTATGAAAATATCTTGATGTGCAACAATATCCCATAGTTTAGAGAAAGGCTATCTCGTGATAAATTCTTCATTTTTGCACATTTTAAAGTCATAATTTCACTTCGAATTAGTGATTGTATCAAAATCACTTTAGAATTCCGAGTGGATCTATATATGAGTAAATATAAGCAAAATATCAGATTGTTTTTCAACATCAATGGTTGGCAAACCTGTGTTAAGGCAACCATTTTTAGTCCATTATCAATAAAAAAAAATTTTATAAAAGATTGACCTTTTTATTCATATATTTTGCATCAACCTAGGCTTGAGAGTGACTCGCGTGAAAATCAGCTCACTCCTCCACTCCTTTTAGTTACCTTAGAATTATGTTAAATTAAAAGCATACTCAAAATCCCTGCTTTCTATGCAAAAAGGAATGTTCATCCAGGTGTTTCAAAGGGTTCTATGCACAATTACATAAAATGACCCAGGAAGACCGTGTCAGTGTCAAAATTTTACTTAACCTATTGGTTTTTCATTTCGCCCAGGTGATCTGAAGTCGGTACCAGAAAGTAGTGTTTCTCATAAGAAAACCTCGTAAATCCTTTCCATTTCTTTAAAATTTTAAGAAAAAAAACCTTGTAAGTCAGATTCTGCTAAATCATTTGAATATTATGATGGTGGTTAAATTGTTTTGTCTGGTTTTATTTGATACACCATACTATAACGATTTTATTAGATGATGGGATATTTCAATGCAGTCGTTTTGAAAAGAGCAACACGTTTTTTTTTCAAAACAAAACAGCCGAGAATGACTTATTAGGTCTTTCCATGAGACCGACGATGTGTTCTAGAAAGAATGAAATACTCTGGCAAAACAATAACAATAGTGTTTCTCACGAAGAGTTTGCAAGGTTAGAAGTTCGGGCGACATCAGATATTTCCGACTGTAGTTATTCATCTAAAGTAACAGCTTTGAATTGAATTTTTGACATCCATGAAACCCACAATATTGGGAACATTCTACATTGCCAACCATCGCAAAGCCCAGTAAGGTTGAGGGTTTAGTTTTCGAAACGGGAATTATTTTACCTAAGCTAATCAGTAAAATTTGAGCTTTTAATTTAAAGTGAAAAGGACGTTTTCTCTTTTCTTGAGACTCTACCATTTGTAAAAAAAAGTCAGAAATTGTAATATTTACTTATATTAAAATCAACCTCTGACAAATGTCGAATCTATGCCTTTAAATATTTCAATGCTCTAATCTAAACAATATTCATTATTCATTTTCCTTCAAAAGAAATAATCTGTTTGATTGCTTCGGATATCAAACCTAGTATACATAGAGTTTTAATTCTGATCGGATAAAAATCAAAATTGTGTATTGAAGATCAGAATCAATTTCATGTGAATCAAACAGGCTTTCTGAACACTAATCCCTATACTATCGTTCAGTCCAGCAATACTACAGGTGGGCTATACCTGAACACTTTTCACCCATTCTTTGTTTCACAAAATTCAAATCTATCTCCTTGACTGTACAGGGAGTTAAAACTGCCATTTTGGATCTCAGCAAAAATTCAAAATTAAGGGTAGGTTTTAACGATTGTATTTTTATATTTGCATTTCTGAACATTTCTTTTCTTCAGTAGAGCATTATGTTCATATTGATGTGAATCAACCATTACTGTATGTGAGACCCAATAACAAAGAACAGAATTGGGGCAGAATTGAACGATTCAACCTATTCAATTGACATATCGATATCGAATCTTCCAATTTACCCTATGCACTGAATGGAGTTACCGACCATTTTAAGACCAGCAGGGGAGTCTGATTTTATTTTGATACACAATCTAAATATTTTCTTTCCATATCAATGTAAATGGAGCAAACCATCAATTATACGAAGAAAATCCAGCTGATAATTCAAGTCATGAAAAATACAGTTAAAAACACAAAATATACATCAACTACCTTCAATTGTAAGTGTGTTCTTATTCTAATCATATGAGACATCTTTTAACATTTGCCTGATTACTTTTTTGTAGTATATTGATGTGGCTTCATTGGGATAGAAAAACACACACCAAACAATCGTGTTCAAATCACATCATTGAATGACTAAATATTGTCTCATACAATTACTAGAAATAATAAGTGTCATGGGTTTCAATTTTGTTTGAAATAAATCACCTTTCCTAATAATTTGTAAATGGGTACGGTTATTACAGGAAAGGTCATTGCAATTGCTTTTAATTTGGTGTGATTAGGAAGCCTTATTCTGTTGCTGTTTTTCAGCTTTAGCGGAGATTAACTAGAAACATTACATTAATAATGTAAGGTTAAAAAATATAGTTGGGTATTTTTATTTCCAGTGACCCTAAGTTGGAATAGTATTTATCTGGAAGCCATATTATCATTTACCAAGAATCTGGAACATAAACAGAATTTCAGGTAATAGAGAATTTCAGAATCAGGTAAAATGAAAAATTCAATTATCTTCAAACAAAATACCTTATACGTGCAAAACCCAATACATTGAAAATTCTGAAGAAAATCAGTACAAAGTTAATCATCGTATAAAAAGTATACAAATATACACTGCCACAGAATTATTATTGTTTTAGTATAACAAACAGTGTATGATATATGCCTATGCCGTCCTGAAAATGATTTTGTATCTGAAGCATGTGTCAGCGGCATGAGATGAGCCCTAATCAATTATGTATTAGATGTAACGAAAAGGTTTCATAATGGTATACTCTCATTTCCATAGTTTTCAGTTGACACGATAGTTTTTGCTTGCAGTCAATTAATTTGATTGCCAAGTTTCTTGCTTGAGTATACATAATTCGAATTTGAATTTTTGACGGCGGTATGATCGAACTGAAACGTTTTGATATTAAAGTTTTTTTTGTAGCCTTCCGTTTTTCAAAAAGTGAAAACAAAATCAAAAGGTCAATTGCTATGAATGTCATGACATTTTATGATGTCTGAATAAAAATCTTGTTATATTCAGGTAAAAAGATGAGGAATGAGTTACTCCGGACATATATCCTGAATCTGTAAACCTCTCAAAATATAGCTTTAGGAAAATAGAATAGAAATGAGGTGTTCTAGACATGATCTCTTTAAAAATATTCTGAGTCGTTAAACACTTTAATGTGATATACATTCCGGAAAAAAGAATGGTAATGTGTTACTCATGATAAGTTGTTTTTAAAATGTTCTGAATTTCTAATTTCCCTGTTTGAGATAATGTGAAATCCTGTAACTTTACACAATTAAGTTTAATTAGTAAATAATATTAGATTGTAAATGCTGGTACTAAAGTGGAATTAAACAAACTCATGAGTTCAAATTAAAAAAAACAAAGTTGGATTTAACTGAAAAAAGAAAAAAGCAAAATCACAACAACAAATTTCCGTGGTAGGTCAACTTAAAAGACATTATCAAATCTTTCGTTTGTGGACCACGAACATAGTCATGATCTGCATCTTTAGTTAGAAAACCACATGAATTTACGTGGAAGGACAACATAAAATACATACAACAATAACATACAATAAAAACTCAAACATAGAATAATACAAGTCGAAGCTTTAGTTTGTAGTCCACAAACATACTACATCTGTATCTTCTGTTAAAATATATCTAACTTGCATTTAAATCCCAAACCTCCCAGGCCCTAACACCCTTTTCTGGTTCTATAGCTAGTTTTTTTCTTACCCCTAACTATCAATTTGTGAAGTTAAAACAAAGATGGAAGATTTATTGTCAGTTTCTGTAGTAGTATCTGTTTAATGAATTTAAAGGGTTTTAATATCCGTTTTACCTCTGTTTTTCCACTGTCAATGTCGTGTAATTAATTCAAAAGACATCGGGTAAATTAGGCCATATTCGGTTTCACTCGATTGTACATGAATGTAAATCAACTAGATTTTATTATTGATAATCAAGTCGATCAATTCTAATCAAATTTACCTGGTAACCTTAATTATCAGGGATAAGAGGTTACAATCAAAATATATAATTTCATCGCTGAATTTAAAACAAAACAATCAAATTCATTTGACAATGAAATCAAATTAAGAAAGAAATTTATTTGGTATATCAAAAATATTTCTATTTACCTATTTTCTTTAGACCATATAATAACTGAATAGAATTTCCTGAAGAACTAATATCAATAATATACTCTACATTTTATAAACGGGCATAGAGTACATGTTTCAAAACATGAAATCAAAACAAAAAGCGACTTCGAACAGAAATGTAGATGTTGGCATTATGCTTTTTATTCCCAGAACTACCTCTTATAGCCCCATACCTCTTATAGCCCCCATTCCCCTTTAATTTTTTCTAAACAATAATTGGTGAAATGTTCTGATAGTGATCTGTGATTCAAGGTATAAGGTAGTTACGTAATAATTTTAATTCTGATAGCAAAATCATAACAATAAATTATCTAACAAAACAATAAGTAATGAATATAATATCGCAAATTATAAAGGTATAACGTTGCCAAAATTATTCAATATGTCCAAGCTTTAAATGAAATGAATGGAGTTTTACGTCCTACTTTTCTGCACCATGTGGGCTTTAAAATACCAATGAATAATTTGACAACGTTATATACCTACATGACAAATAAACACTTAATTATTATTCAGTTACAAATATTATTCAGTTACAAATAATAGGTGAAATATGATTTTCTTTTATCTTGATTTACCAATAATGCATAATTTCATTCAATAACAATCATTAATAACAGAATTAAACACGAAGCGACTTGAGGCTAAGATTCTGATTACCAAACTAGTAATTGTGCTCATAAATAAAATGTTACTCGTTTTAACACATTGAGTTTAAATCTTGGATTTTCATTATCAATTCAAAGTAACTATATCTTGAGCATAGTCCGAAACATCTGCCTCTATTCCAGCCACTGATAGATATTTTGACAGTTATCACAGTAGAGACACAAAAAATGGGTTGGTTGAAAGTATCCATCGGACTAAGCTATTTCACCTAAAAGGTTAAATTTTCCATTCTGTACCTCGAACACAAAAGACAGAAAACAACAACAATTCATATATTAACACGAAATCACCACGTAAATTATCAATTTGTTGCTTTGACTAAAAGTTTAAAAACATTTTATAATTATTATTAATGAACACATGAATTAGTTACAAAAACAGTAGTTAGAAATTTAGAAAAGATAGTTAATTAGATAATATACAAAAATAAATAAAAAGCAATTTATTATACAAAGATACTGAAGAAATACTGCTTCACACTGTCTGTTCTTCCTCCATGTTTATACGGTTTTCTAACCATTCAGTTGTTGTTTGATAATGATTGTTCATCCACTCAATGTTGGATCTATTAATATACAAATAGATTTATGATAAGAAACAGCACTTTTACGGATATAAACTTTTATTTATTAGTTAAACACACACAACGTTTCATTATACATACAGGTAACGTTCTTAAGTGGTGATTAACAACAAAAAACTATAACTCCTTTTATATAACAAAAACAACTTTATGATGGTCTTAAAATTTACAAATAGTTTTGAACATCTGTTGTAATCCGTTGAAAGATCGATTTAAATTGCCTATGTGCAATGACAGTACTTGCAATTATGGGGACAATAAGCTAAACATGCCCTGGACCACTAGGTGATGTGGTTACAAACAGCTCTAATTCACTTAAAAAACATAGGATATAAAAGGGATAACTGCATACCTTATAAGAGCTACAGCATTAGCAGCGGCTTTTAATGCAGCTTTTGGTGGATATTCAGCAATTAATGTCTCTAACTGTAAACATCGAAACATGATAAAATTAGCATTGATAACAAGTGTATTGACGTATCTTCGATAGTAGTACATATAATCTTCTTTTTTTCGTTTGAACTGCTTTGGAGTACTATAATTTTGATGCATTAGATGGACGATGCTGGTTGTAATATACACATAAAGCAATTCCGAAGGATAGTGTTCATAATCTTCTGTCGGTCTGATAAAGGCACTATAGAACGCAATCATTACAGTGCTGCATCATTGTCCATCATCTCGTAAATAAAGCCAAGCGGTCCTCCGCAGAATCCGCAATGCATATCAGTACTGTTTTGTTTGTTTTATTTACATCTTATAAACAGGTGGCAGAAATTTCAGTTCCTCGTGATTGAATAGATCATAATTTTGCTTCTTCAATATGAACGGTTTTACCTGTTTCAGTTTAAATTCTGTATTGATATAAGTTGTTACTTCTGTTATTATTTCGGGCATATCATTAGGGAATCTGTTAATATACAACGGATCTCTATTCACATTTTCAATCTTAACGTATTAAGGACACTACACGACGCGTTATACATGTACACATATTACATATTACTCATACACAAATGGATAACATGTATTTGTAGTATGAAAAGCTAATAATCAGTATGCACAAAAGGTAGTTCCTTACCTTCTATTCAAATCTTGCCACTTACTTAACACAAAATCTAAGGCCACCATTCTTGATAAGGGATTTTTAACATAATAACCAAAGACAAGTCGGACATCTTGTCGATTGATTTTTTCAGGGTCAAAAACCCATGTTATATACCTAAAAACAAAATAACGACGGTAATTAACTGATAAACCATTCATGGTGATATCCATTGAAGAAAAAATCATACACGTAATTAAGAATGTACAAATTTTGTAAACATAGTCATAAAATTTATCAAACACTCCCTTCCCGAAACCAAAAATATTAGTTTTCTCTTGGCTAAAATAATTGGTGTCGGGAGAATAGATGTTTGTAGTTGTAGTTGTCAGGTAAAAATGGTTCATGACAATATTAATTCAAAAATTTTAACTTTAGAGTTCGACCGTAGTACCCTTCATTGGTCGAACAAAAACTTCCAGAAAAAACGAATAACTCAGAATAAATATAACCTCCATAACAGCCAAGGTTTCTGTGATTGTGCCAGAGCTTCCATCATCATAGCTCTTTCTGATGCAACATTAGTTACTTGACTTTTGTTCCAAACAAAATCCCATTCTTCTGCTCCCCCTTCTCTGACACCAACAGAATATATTATCATAGCGAAGTCAGTTGGTAATCTTAAAATATAATCAAAATATTCGACATCGGGTTAAATTACTATAAAACTTCAATAGGCTATTGGCGACATAATGTTCTTGGAACGCGATAGAAATAGAACGAATGTTATGCTATTGCAATCAGAACATTGTTAATGCACTTCGAGTAAGGTTCTTTCTATTGCTGACCGTATATCGTTCATCCAGTTGGAAGGTAATGCAAATTCTACAAGCATTGGGTTTTATAAGTCGTGATTATCTAGAATTGCAAAGCACAATCATTATTAGGCGGGCGAAGATAACATTATAACTAGAACAAATTGCACGATTTTGTTTTTCACCTGAAATGATTTATATACATATGTCAGAACCTATACACAAAAATATCCTTCTTCCACTTTCCACTTGTGGACACTAACCATTTTAAAGCTTCATTCAATTTCTTACTTTTCAAAAGTTCTAGAATTTGAATTACCTGGTGCTGAATTTTTTCCATGCATTAAACATGGATTTAGCATAGATGACTGTTTTCTCTACTCCAACTTCACATGCCATGGTAAGAATAATCTGCCTTAAATACCTACAAAAGAAAGCATTTGAAAATTTATCAGAGCACACCATTTTTGACTGATCGTCGACTGACGTTTTGTGCACGTAAGTAAACATTTTAATTGCTGAAACTATAACTAATGAGAAATTTCCAATTTACAACAGTTCCAGTTGTTAGCCCAGCAATACGGTTTAACACTGGAATCATAGTGAGTACGGTTTTCATTCGAAAACAGACTGGCACACAAATCTTATTCGACCTTTCAAATTTTGGATATGTGCCTTAGTTTCTGCGTATATGAAGAGAATACATAAATAACATGTAATTTTCGACAGTTTCTATGAATGCTAAACGTACCTCTCGGGCAAATCACCTCTGTCTGAAGCATCGACTCTTTCAAAAACAGGGGCCACTAAATCACTTAAATATTTCTGAAAATAAAGTTATTTCCACTACATATCAGAAAAAACGAGACTTCCGATTTGATCTGTTAGTTTAAAAAAAAGGTTCATGCTGTAAACAATTAAATTCCCCCAAAAATTATTTGAGAACGTGTTACTAAAATTGCATTCAATTGTTCACACAAATCTAATTTACCTGTAACTTTCCATAGGCGGCTGTATTAGCAATCATACCATTTAAAAATTTAACAGAATCTAAGAAAGCTCTCCAAGGGATATAACTCTGTTCAGATTTTAAATATACCGTCATGTTGAGAGCCATTGAATAATCCAACAAATTAGCCCTAGAAAACATTATTAATGGTAGCTTGTAATATCGTTCGATATTTACGCAAAGTATTCAAAGAACAATACAAGAGGTTTTCAAATAGGATATTTGAGAAGTATTAACACGAGTTTTCCATAGCCGTTTGTTTGCTTGCTTGTTAATTTGGTAAAATAGGATTTTATACTTGATTTCATTATCTAAACTAAGCAATAATGGGGGAAAATGACTTACAAACATACCTTGCTAAAGCAAAAGCATCCCCAATCAACCCAGCTCGATTAGTTTCTAGAAATACCTAAAAATATAAAAGACAGAGTAAATTCGCAGTATTGCATACATTTTAGCCAAGAAATGAATTTGTGTAAACAAATTTGTAGGTTTTATTTTGATATGTCGTTGGGATAAGGGAAAACCATTAGCTCAAATGCTTATTTGGGAAACCATACAGGGAATATTATCGTATTCCGTATAATGTCATCACATCTTCACATTGTCTCTTGTGAAATTATGTGTCAAATAGTTGTTCATAGCTAGAAGTGCAAAGTAATCAAGAGTCAATTTGGTACGAAGATACGGGAAACAACTCTTTTAAGAATGATATCTACAATAGTTGGGCCAATATACGTTGTCCACGGTTGAGCAAGAGAAGTTAGAATTCATAATTTTGGCACTCAAAAATCAATCTTAAAATATGTGTCCTGAATGTACTTACAGTATGGTCATTAACAAGTTGTTGAGCAAGTTGTTTCCACATATCGCCCTCGTAATTTACTCGATAAAATCCAGTAAAATCATAGTTACCCAATAACCAACCCTTACTTTTAGGTATGTTAGCTGAAATATTGTTAAAATTCATCAAAAAGAATTTAACCATCGTTATCTTATATGCCTAAATATCTGTAGTGCCGAAATATTATTCAATTCTATCATATAAATTTTACCCCACAAACCAATCAGGCCCATTTTGCACATCACGTTTTGTAAAACTTTGTTTGATGTGATTGCATGTAGATGCAATTTAGAGAAAGTAAGAAAATATATACCCGATCCAAGATTCAACCATACTTGATGTTTTTTATGAGGACTGTCTTGTGTAACATATGTAAATGGAATGTACCATTTATATCTGCAATATATAATAATGTAACACTTTGCAAAAGTTTAGATACTGACGTCATATTGCTTATATTGCCTAAATATCTTTAAGAAGTCGGTAAAAGAAACAGACCTACCCAAAAGGATTTGGTTCTTTGCTATCATCTGTACCAAACAAAAACCGCTTTTGATTCAAAACGTAAACACCATCGGACAGGATGACGTCAACAACAGGATATCCCATCTGTCTTGTCCAGGTATCCATGATGGGTTTAATTACATACGTATGATTTACTGCCTATAACAAAAAAAATAATTTTTGAAAACTCTTGAAAGCTCGTTTGGAATTGAAGTCATTCTTTTTGACTAATCATACTTTAGTCTCAGAAACGGTATATTTTTATCAGTAATAGTGAGCACATGTGTCTTTTAAAATACTTTGTGACATGTATAGAAATAGTGAGTAAAATTCCTAGTTTGAGATCTTTTTGAAGGAATTATATGATTTTCGTACATTTCTAGTACTACGATACCCAAATCAACCCCTGAAAATGTCACATTTCTCCCTTTAAGGCCCATTAGAAGGTCGACTGATAAACCAGTTGATAAAAAACTTCTCACAAAAATAGGTTTAAAATGGTTTTCTTCCAATGTTTGGTAAATTTGTTACCTCTGTAAAAGTTTGCCATAGTTGATCTCTAGCAGCATTCTTAAATTTATACCGCTTTACATACATCTGAAAGTATATATTTTTATATTGGATTTATTTTTTTTTTTTAAAATAAGTTTGTTTATTCAGATATTATGCAGAAATTCGACGCAAAAGTGCAATGTAAACTATGTGATAAACGTTCAGTGCCATGTTAAACTAAGTGTAAAGTTGATACCTGAAGACCCTTTCTAAAGTTGTCTAAACCAATAAAACTTCCCAGCATTCTTAATATAGACATACCCTGAAAATTCAAAGATAGCAATGAAATCCCGACAAAGCATCTTGACATTGTTTTGTTTCTATGTATGTTATGTCATTTCTATGTTACAGCATATAGTTTTTCAGTCAATTTATGATTGATGATAAAAAGCATTACTTTGTTATAAGATATCATATCAAAGAATTGTTGTATATCATTAGGATCTTTCACATCAGTAGAAACAGAATGAGATGTAGACAAAGCATCCTTCTCCATTACTGGAAACATATCTTCCACAACTTGAGTAGCTAACTAAAACATATAATATAATCTAAACGTGAGGTTTGTTATAACCTGTAGTTTCATATAAGGCCTATTCAGAAAATTTATGATGTAATTATGCAAACAGGAAATGAAATGAAATGGAGTTGATAAGTCTGACAGCGCCACTTAGTGTGGAATGAGGGGGTTTTGTCAGTAATTCAATTTGCTCTTGGGATGCAGAAAAGTAAGACGGAAAACTCCATTCATTTCATTTTCTTGGTAGATTGTTACAATGGGTTTTAGTCAATTACAGTGAGTACACCAAACAAAATCATTGAAGCGCTATGAGTTATTTAAAAAAAATGAAATATTGACTCACCACGTTCCATTCTGGATAAACTGCGTTCATACCAAAATACATTAATATACTAGCAAATCCTTCATTTAACCAAAGGTCATCCCACCATTTCATTGTTACCATATTACCAAACCACTGAAATATATAGAGGATCTTAAACGAGTACTTCTGACATAGAAACTTTATGAACTGAGTTGCACCGGTTCAATATTGGGCCTTTATTTTGACGGTAGCCTTTTTTTGGAACAAGTTCATGCACACTTTTAACTGCGTCGTCAACTTCAAAGGATGCCTTGTTGTTTTATTTACGATTATTTTTCAGAAAAAAAGTCATGCTTTCTTAAAGTAATAGCTTTTTTAACGTTTATCGTTTAAGTAAACAATAAAGAAACTCTTGACTGTCTACTTATTGATATTCATTTGGTCCATCTTCTAGACACTTTATCAAACTGAAAGATGCTGTTAGTAAAATTAAAACAAGAAATGAATAGCGAAATAACAAATTAGTACATAGCCTGTGGATTAACTCTAGACATTGTGACGTGTCAAATCCGCAAAAAATAATCAAATTCCTTGCCTCCAAATTAGCAAGCACGCGTTAAACACATTACTTCTTACAATGATTTAAATAAATGTTATGTATATGGGTTAATCGACTAAATTTTAATTATCAGTGTCTTTTATGGAAACCAAATACATCTTAATGATAGCATGGACTCACATAATAAACAATTCAAATAATAGTTTTATACCACAATATATATACATGGCACAGGAACGGATGTTGTTGGTCCACTTATTCCAGTGTCTAGATATGCGCTAGGAATTCAACATACATGCGAGTCATATTCAAAATATAAAAAAATTCTAAATCAATGTAATTAATTTGCTACATGATCGATAATTTGGATTCTAATTAGGTCAATTGTATATATACAGCAATTGAACAAAACTACTCAACAAAATGTTTATCTGTTTATTTAAAGTAGATAAAGAAAGTTATATAGTTGCCAAATATGTTTCAATCTTACCGTGTGAGCTATTTCATGGGCCATTATCAAAGTAACAGTATATTTATTTTTACTGGAAGAGACTTGTGGGTCAAACAATAAGGCTGTTTCTCTATATATCACTAAACCCCAGTTCTCCATCGCACCAGCATAAAAATCAGGAACTGCTACATGATCTGAAATTGAAAATGATTTCAATTGATCATAAGTCTTTGATTAGTAACAAAATCTACCATACAATAGAAAATAGAAAGTTACAGATCATCTTTTGTTAAAAGTAGGTAATATTTCCCAATATGCAGGTTTTCAAAATTCCAAAGTATTTGAGCTACGGTCAAGGACGTTTAGAATCAATTCTCATTTTGGTCGGCATATTCTTCCCTTAACAATTAGTAGTTAGGCAATAAAAAACTCAGAAGTTCAGAAACTAAAGCAGAATTATTCATATGTAAATATATCCAAAGATTTATGCTTTATCAATTTCTAACATATATTGAACGTCTTAAGTCTGTCTTCACTAATCTGTGAAATTGAATACAAGGACACGGTAAGTCTTACTGACCTGCTTTTGGAATAACATCACGAATACCAAAATATTCCGTAAAGAAGTCATAAGCCTTTACTGTAAAATCCAGAGCGTACTCTGTCTGTGAATAAGCGTCCGGTTGAGCCCAAATTTTAAGCTGCAATAAGGATTATAATAAGAACTCGATGGCATCGTTTTAATGGAAATTCAAGGAAAGGTTCTTTTCTGAAAAATCGAATCAACCTCAAATGGAAATACATGAAACTTGAAGTATGATATGATACATGTAACATATTAAATAATCATACAATCAAAATGAAAATCAAAGTGATGTATTCATGCTATATTAACAAAAGCGGTATGGAGCAATTATAGCCTATATGTGTTATACTACATAAACCATCCAGATGTAAAAAGGAATTTAGGTGAAATGCTCCCTCAGGAAATATCTAAATGGACCAGTTTGCACATACTGTACATTATTCGTGGGAGTAATGACCTTTTCGAACAATATAATATGTATTGTTTAGTTCAAGGGAAAAAACCACTTGCAACATACAATAGGCTGACATACCGTGTATCCAGATTTAAATGTGTAGGTTCTACTCTTGAAATCAGCAACAACGAAGGCGAGGATATAAGTAGACATGATTGGTGTTTGTGAAAATTCTTTTCTTAACCAGCCATTGTTTAATACTGAGGATTTTTGTAAGGGCATGTTACTTAAGGCTTCATATCCTAGATAAAGGAGAAATAAAAAGTATTATACAAGATAATGGTTCTTATTAGACCAATAACGACACGAATATATCTTTAAGAGGACATACTCTTATTATAGATGCGTTAATTGCTTTCGAGTAGGTGAATATAGAACAGGTTTCCATACTTAATGGTGTATGTGTGTAATAGTAAGTAAAAATGGAAACCGTTCGTGATATTCAAAACTGCGTACAGATAATAATGTCGACTCCTTTGCAGGTTAAGTAGTAATTCAAATCCTTAGAGTTATCATGTTAAGAACTCTCAGCATGCAAAAACACGTTTTATAATATGTGAGCTTCCTCATTATTGGGGATACAAGTTCGCAGAATGACTGGTATTTCAAAATATTTCCATCCTACCTGGCTGATGAATAATGATGACATTAAAAGTAGCTTTAAAATCAGGTTCGTCAAAGCAAGGAAACACACTTCTTGCTTCCGTTGATTGTAGCTGAGAACTGGCCAAGTACCTAGAAAACAGTTAGCTAATAAATGTCCGTACAAGCAAAATCGGGAAGTAAAGGTGGAATAGTTGTGGTTCCCTCCAAAGAGAAGTACCATCGGTGATTTAAATACTACTAGAAGTCGTTTCGTAGAATTATAATACTCGAAGTGCAAACTAACCATTATAATACATGTTAAAGAATCTATTGAGAACATTAATGATTGAAACGTTTTCAGTTAAACACAGATCATATCGTTTAGTTCTAGTTGTATAGATATTGCTTTGTCATTATTGAACGAAGAAATAGTACAATTATCACTGAGCGTGTTGTTTTGTAGCTCCATTTGCAATCTATGATCTCGAGAAATTGTCATGCAACACATGATATAGCTATATCATTTATGCGACCAACCAATAAATAATTTACAAACTACATCATTTGTGGATTGTGGAGAAAAAAATTGGGTCATAATAAGACGTTAGTTATGCTCTCCATCTACGATCTGATCTACAGATTATATACCTTTTTACTTTATGAAATTCTTACTCACTTATGATTGATATACCTTCTCATGCATCAAAAGTTTATTAACCAATGTTTCGCCAGTATTTTGTTTTGTGGTTCGGATCGTTAGTACTTGGTTAATTATTTATCATATCAATAATTATATGTAAATGATTTTGTTATTTTGTCAATCTTCGATTGGCAGATATGATTTGGATATTTTTGTTAAAATTATTTTAGCTAGTAGGTAAAGATGGTCTTTCACGACTAAAGTCTAAATGAAATATCTCAATGGAAAGGAAACTTTAAGAATAATATTTTATGTGTCGTCACAGTTTATCGGCGATAAAATTTCATGTGACGAAATATATCACAGGAGATTTCGTAAGAGACACATTTGGAAAATTTGCCACAACTTATGGGGCAAAAGGGAATGGTTTATTACGATTAGAGGAGCAAAGAGTGTCTGCACTTTGGCCCTGGTCGTTTTCAAGTTTGTAAGCTTTGGTAATTGAATGGGTCCTCAAGGGAAATATTGTCTGCCATTGAAATTATATGGTTTATCAAATTAGACCATTGGTTTCGTTTGGCATCACATCATATAATTGTAAGGTGAATATCTCCACAACCTCACGTTCACGGGATTTGGCTGATTTTACGCAAATGAAATAAAAATGGATCAGAACACGCAGTTGGCTATCAGCTGAGTAATACAGTAATTGAAGTTTATACTGATCTCGAAAGAAAAAAAAACGAAATCGGTAGAAATAGATTTCCATCCACAGAAAAAGGTTAAAAGAAAGACCTGTTAATCGACATCGGATACAAGTCAACCAGGCAATTCCTACTATGACTATGCGCTCGACCTTATCTTTTGATGCAGCACTGGTGAACATTGGTAGCTTGATTCGTAATTATCACAATATACATAATACTGATATCCAAAAGAACTTACCGTTTCAAACCATCTTTGGTCTTAAAAGAGCTCCTGTATAATCCACGTAAATTGGCTTTGATATTCCCTTCATATTCTCCCACTTGCAACACATACTGGGATCCTTTCCATATTTCTTGTTCTAATTCCAGTACATGATATTCGGTATTGGGTGGAATAAACTGTCTTTTTATTCTGGGGTGTGCTACGTCCAGTCTTGGGATGATCCGAATGGAATTTTCAATGATTTGAATCCGACTACGGTGGAATATAACATATTTTGTCGTTTCGTTCACACTTATACTTATATTCACAGATCCTTTAAATTCAAAATTCGTTAAATCCACTTTAATTTCCAATTCGTAATTTGAGGGAATAATAGAACGGGGTAAACGAATTCCTGACCATGGCTTGACAGAAGATATTTTTGGTGTAGTGTTAATATATTTGATATGGCCTTCATATCTTGAGGTATTTTCAAATCCATTTATATAAACGTGATTGGATAAATTCAATTTTTTGTCCGGGGCTGGACATGGTCTTAGAAATCCACCAAAATAGAAAAATAACAAAAGAGCAATGGAAAGAATTATCACAAGTATAACACATATTATTACAATCTTACATTTGTTTGCGTAACAGCCTGTTTTCGGTTGTTGTAACGACACTATCGTATCTTTAGTTGCGATGTTGCTGTAGTGATTTGGTTCCGCTAACGTCACATCCGGATATCCATCCTTATCAAGATATATATCTTTTTCACCATTCATTTTGATGACGAGATTGTTTATTCTGAACTTCTTGTTGCTTGTATAAGTCCATGTAGTGTCAGATCCGCCAGGTTACACATTTTCATCTCTGAAAAAGAGCAAAACCAAATTGGTTTTGTGTTAGTGTTCATAGTACATATGGCGTGATTGACTTACATTTTCTGCTAGTTGTCCTGTGTTTAAGTGTATTTCCATTAAATAGTTTTACTAACAAAACCAAACCTATTGAAATTAACCTTAGAATCGATCGTCTCCTAACAGTGTTTAAGTAAACACTTCAATTTAAGTTTTTAAACAATATCTAAATAGGTTTTAGTGGTCGATTGTTTGAAGTATATCACAGTCGGCATATTTTCAGTACAATTGTAATTAACAGTGTTGAATATTAGCACTGTAGCCTGTGGGTCTATTGCTTTTAATGTTGTATTAATCACGTCTATAACGGTTTGTAGTAGGACGTAAAACTCCATTCATCATTTCATTTAATTTCATTTATAACTGCTGACTGTCAATATTTTCAATTCATCATTGATAATTTGAATCTTTCATTTCCTGGGTCCTATGATAACGGGCAACTGTACTTTAAGATAAAACTAATACGAACTAACGTAAGTTTCATGACATATTTACATCCTTGAGTTAGGAGTCTTTTACGTATAGTTGACATAATCTAGGTCTTATTAGTAATATGACTTAACTCAATTATTGGTAATTAAATCCCACAGGAGATGGAAGTCTATTAAAAGTAGATTACCACAGGGGAGAAGATTGTCTTCGATGCTGGTTTCATATTTTACTAATGTGAAATCATCACTAAAGGTCTGAACCCATATGTCAAATCCACCTCTCGATTAGGACACATCGATTCATGACTTTGTCCATGGGTCACTATTGATTTTGTAGTGCTTTAACACTATAATTTGCTATATGTGAGCAAGTAAACATACATAATTTACCAGATTGTCTCAATAGTCTCAAATATGAAGACCACTGGTACAGTTTTTGAGACTGTGGTAAATAAAGCGGAAGAGCAAGATTTTTTGACAGATTCCAGATTTTCACGATGAGACTTTGTATGTAGCCGTGTATATACAATTATTTCGGGGATATATAAATTAGACATTTATTATGTTACTATATTATGTTCTAAGGTATTTCTCTATAACAATAATATCGTACTTAACGTCACAAAGATGGTAATTATTCACATGTTCAAAATATTAACAAGGGTTGATGAAATTGGTGTCTGCACGGAAAGAGCAAACGTCAAGATATAATTATGAAGAAAGACATTAATTGATATTTCAGGTCTAATTTGCACTGTCTGCTTGAGATTTTTATTCGTTATCTTGACACTCAGTTACGCCTTTTGAATAACATCAGACGATGGTAGTTCTAGCATGCAACAGAAGTAACACATACAGCAGAAGTAATTTGTCATAGGAATCTAATATGATTGATTCCGTGCCTTAAGATGTTCATAAGAAAATGATAGACATAATATGCTTTTGATAATGTGCCTCTTTTATTACGTTACTTTTGTGACACATAATATACAAAGAACGCTTGTCAGGCAAGGTAAACATACAGCAGCTTTATTAAATTTTTAGATTCAAACAGCTTGAATCATAACGATTAATCTTATATGTTTCTATTCAATACTCAGGATTGTATTACTTTTGCAATGAACATTTTCTAACTTAAAACCTTATGAATTCCAATGATCACACCAAGTGCTCACGAACAAATTTTGACTTTTTAGGTCAATGACAATACCTAAAAGTCGGTTTAAATATGGTAAGTCAAAAGTCAAATTTGTAAATATTCAAGATCTCATCTTTAAATGATCAGTAAAAATTCCTGTTTCTATTGTACTCACGAAAAAAAGTCAAAATCTAACTTGGTGTGATCATATAAATATTTGTACCACATAAATATCACTGTAGTCCCTACAGTGCTCACACATTTCGACAAAATCAAGGGCAATAATTCAAAAAATTGTTTATAAAATAATCGACAAATTCAAACTTGTCCAAGATCTCTATATTGTGCTCACAAGAAATGATGACCGACCGACGGACGGACAGGGGCGACGGCAACATCTAAAGAGAATTAGGTGCGGTAGGTTTGAATCTTGAGGTAAGATGTCTGTTGTCGCGACCGGTACTTGAATTTGTGTACATGGTTGATAATTTAGCTCTTCCACTAGCTCAAACATGACCCTGTTATTAGTTGTAACATTCTTTAGTTCATGCCAAGAATTGATTGAATTAGATTAATTATGCCATTCATTATACAAGTTATATATTAATTTGACTCTGATATCAGATTTATAATTAATCAAACAAGGGCTCACAATTGTGGTTAAATAATAAAAAAGTAAGCCGTGTCATAATTTCCAAAGGTCTGTAATTCAAATCGAAGACAATGTCGAGGGATGTGTAGCATACGCGACTTTCATTTATAGTGCCATCTAAATGACTCGACCGTAATTGCCACTATTTCGACTGCTCTGTAGTGTTTTGGAAACTGGGTTGAAATATAAAAGTATTATTCGATCTATTCAAGGATGGAACTCAAACGCTTTATCATTAACCAGAAGGCCTAACTAGTGTAGCCACAACAGTGAATATATCATTTCGTAACAACCACTTTTCCCTAGCTTAGTATCTTTAAAATATAAAAGAATAAAAGTAATATAGTATAATACGTATATCATATATTATTAATATTACAGAATGATTAGTGCTCAATTATCACCCAATTTCCTGCAAGGGATCTAATAATAAAATATAAATAAAAGTCAATGACAAACGATTTGTTTTATGTAGCTGTATATAGGCTAGTCTAAAAAGAGATTTTCTTCTCAGCTCACGGAAAATATGTAATTCCCCTTTTCAAGTACTTTGAGGGTAGATGCGTATATGGCTTTGGCATTGTTTTAAGATCTTTGACTTTTTAAGGTCTTTGGGTAAAATATTTCGTATGCCAGCACTGATATCTAAACTAAATTTAGCTTTAAAACTACTAGACAAAAGAAAGTTTTCACCGACTTTACCAAATAGCAAAAACGAAGGGCTATGGGAGATTTATTATGATTTATTCATAAATATAAACCATTGTCGTTGATTTAAAATTAGAATGTTGTGTAAAGCCGATATTTCTCCGCAATACACAAAGTAAGAATCAAAGGGTCTAATTGAAAAATTACACAAACCAGAGTTTGCCTCAATAATAGGGTAACCTGTTAGTTTTCGGGGAAGGGAGGGTTTGATTCTCCCAAATGTACAGGCCTAGGGTGGAGCAGACACTTTATTTAGAAATTAGGATTAAGGGTCTTGATATTGAGTTTTCTTCTGTTCTTATTCTGATCTGAAATTAGAAAAAATAACTCGCCCGATGGGCGAGAAGTATAGTTTCTGTTATGTGCTGATTGTTTTTAGTTTACTATGAACAATATTATCATTTAAGTTCTTATTTTTTGAATATGCAACTATCATTTTCTGCTTATAGACATGGGGGGATTTCTCTTGAAGGCTCTTATAGTGGGCTTGAACTATCTTGCTTGCTCGATTGCTGGTTGTATTAAACGGGACAACAAAGGGTGCTATGCCTACATTATGATGAATATTTAGTCCTATAGGTCTTGCTGTATTCAATGTCTCAATCCAATGGGCTTCCCTAGATTGACGGTATTTGGTAGTTTCATCTTCGGGAAAGTCAATTTCTATACGCTCAATTTGGATTAGGGCGAGATCATCTATTGAGTGGTCGTCGAGGTTGAAATGATTAGAAACAGGCTTGTCTTTCTTTAATTTGATGTCTGACCTATGAGCATTAAAGCGAGTTAGTAAATTATTCTTAGTTTCTCCTACATATTGTTTGCGGCATCTCTTGCATGAAATTAAATATATTACATTCGAATCTTCACATGTTAGATGTTCCTGGATCGGGTACCTTTTATTCGTAGAGTTGCTTACAAAATAATGAGTTTCTGATATAAAGGGACATGTTTTGCATCTACTGGACAAACATGGAGCACTTCTTAAACCTGGAGGTACTTCGGCATAAAGTCTGTTTTTAGCTGCTATCTGTGCTAAGGTGGAATTTTTTATGTTTCGTAAAAATCGTTTAGAGTACCCATGCTCTTTCAGTTTTGAGAAAACAATCGTACAGGCTTGGTTGAAATCAGAAGATCTTGTACAAATTCGATGAAATCGTAAAACTTGTGACTTAATTATACCAGAAAAGGTATGTTTTGGGTGAAAGGAGCTCTTGTGCAAGAGTTGATGAGTATCAGTTTATTTGAAATACACTTTAATATCCAGTTTATTTGTTTCTGCAATGGAATCTCCCTTAAACACTGTGGTATCGAGAAAGTCTATGCTTTTGTCACTCACGTTTGCGGTTAGTTTGATAGAAGGATGGTGGTTGTTGAGAATTTCAAAGAATTCCCAAAACTGTTCGATAAAATAAGTCCAAACCATAAAAATGTCATCCAAAAAGCATCCGTAAAAAAGTGGGTCAAATGGACAGAGGGGCAACTCCTCACGTTCCCACTCTGCCATGAAAAGGTTTGCGTACGAAGGGGCGAATCGTTTGCCCATTGCTGTCCCTGAAGTTTGTAAATATGTTTTACCATTAAATGTGAAATCGTTTCGACTAAGACAAATCTCTAAAAGCTGTAGAATTGCATCGTCGGGTCTGTTTGGATCTGGGTTTCTATTGAAAGCTTTACGAACTGCCGTTAAACCAGTAATGTTATCGATATTGGTATACATAGAAGAAACGTCGATAGAAATTAAAATAGCATTAGAGGGAACTCGAAGATTTTTTATTTTATTGACAAAATCGGTTGTGTCTTTAAGGTAGGCGCGATGTTGACATGCTAGAGGTAGTAAGAAATGATCAATGTATTCTGACACTGCATATGACTCACTACCACAGTCAGATATAATCGGGCGGCCTTTAGGGATTTTATTCGAGATAAACCACTCCTT